TATACACACACATGCATATTTTTTTTGTTACTTACAAAAGCTTAAAAATACAAGATAATGTAGGTTTTTATGCTATTAGTATATCTAAAGGTGGATCATGAATTCAATTATAATGAATCGACAGTTAGGAGCAACCAAAGTAGAACATGCATATATGAATACTTGCCCCCAATTATCGAGCTTGCGCAGCCTCTGAGTAGCTACGTAGTTTACGATACAAAACACAAAACTATAAACATTGATATGAGTATTTCTGGAACAAAAAATTATTGATGTCGTGTCAAAATGAAGGGAGTAGGGCGAATATACCCCGTCCAGTATAAAATAAAGCTTTGCTTGCAGTGATGAACGAATGCTTTATCGTAACATGTTCAAAGTTCGTCATTTACATAAAGCAGACATTCCAAAATGATATTTTCTCGTAGACGTTGCTGACACGAACTGAGTGCAAGAACAGGGCGTTGTTTTGTATTCGCACATCAAGGTTACCATAGAAACCAAACGAAACCACCAACGACTTTTGTTGCTAATGACCAGGTCTGAAAGATTAACGTGCGACATACGTATAAAGGACCTAGGTTTCTGCCGTTTATAAAACAGATCACTGGGGATTTTTGGTCAAAACAGGCAACCGAGGCAATTGCAATCTATCGCAAATACCAGTTTTCGCATGTCAATACTTGGGCATCATTTAAGGTTAATGGCAAAAGTTTTAAATCGTAGGATAGACATGCCACTTTTTTATCATTTTATAGACAATAGTGATGGAATTTAGTACGGATAAGTTTAAGGAGCCAGTATTGAAAGACATATAATTGTATTACGTATTGTATACAAAAAGGAATCAGAAATAAGTTTGAAAAAAGTAGAAACATTTTTATGAGGTACAGTTAACGCTATTGAGGGCATTTGCGTGAAAGTTATATACTTAATGTGCAAGAGAGAACCAATAATTTAAATATGCAAATGATACAATAATTGGCTACAAGCGCAAGCCAAAAACTAAGTTTCAAACGACTTTCTCTCCCTTACAATTTGTAATAGACCGTATAATTTCACCATTCAACTGTCAAAAAGAACTGCTCAATTTTCATATTTTATTTGGGAAGACGTTATAGCCTATAATACAAATTTACATTCTGTTCATATTTAACCACGGTCAGATGTCCTACAACAGGCAAAAATGACATTTGACGTATATATATATGTTTGTAGATGTAGATCACCCATGACAATAAAGTCGTTAGAAGGACTGTTCGTGTTGATGTTGATTGACGTTTCGACAACCTTAGCGGTAGTCATCTTCAGAGTTCCCGGGTTCAAACCATTCACTTTAAGACATATATAGTCGAACTTCATTCCAACAGCACTTAGTGAAAGAAAAATTATTTAGTGGATAAGAAGAATCTAGACAAATTACTGAATTATACGTCCAAAGCCAAGAATCAATGTTGAATGTCGTGGAATGGTATTGGTAAGGTCGAAAGATCAATGCTACTCCAAAAGCGAACTTGCTAGTGAAGTGGGTTACAGCTAAAGAAATGTCAGTGACTATGTAGAGAGTAAGAACTGTGGAAACTATGGTCCAAAACTAAAATCCCAAGAATGAACAGTGCGAGAGTACCCACATTGCTTGGGGAAATTATCACGTGACAGCCTAAAATCCTTCATAGGTATATAGCATGGTTGGAGGAAGGCTTACCAAATACTATTTAGTTGGTGGTTTTCATAGATTGACTTTACACTCTCCAGCAATTGGCCGTAACGACATGTTTTGAGTTTTTTTTTAGTGTATAATTACAGTGTTTATTATACATTGAAATATTTACAAATCACCTACAACTCATTTCACATATTTTATTAAAACAGAGATAAAATATTTTGGTGTAAGTAAGTTGTTATTGAGAAAGCGTAACGTTATAGTGAAGTGGTTTTACTTTATGGTTTCTTGATAGCCCTACACGTAATGACGGACCTGGATTCTTAATTTTAACACCGCTAAGAAAAAAAGAACCGCTGGTTTTGTTTGTAAACAGTTTAGGTGAAGAAAATGTTGAGATTGTCCCTTCATTTTTCATATGCTTAACGCTCTCTTTAGAAGAATTTATAGGTGATGACTTTTTCTCCTTTGTACCAACGCAAGAAAATGTGGAAATTTTCCCTTCATCTTTCAAATGCTTAACGTTCTCTTTCGAAGAATTTATAGGTGATGACTTTTTCTCCTTTGTACCAACAACAGGGGTGCATTTGTAGTCGGATGACTCTTTTTAAAACAAATGTGTATCAAAAATTTGTTATTATAAGCACTCGTCAGAAGAAAAACTAATAAGAATAACACCAAAGACAAGCTGCGAGCAAATGCAATTACGTGTGTATCAAACTGTTTTGATATTTTGATTGTATAATCATGCCCACTGCATTCTGGTTATTTCATATGTAAATAGGACACTTGAAATCAATGACAATTTTTATAAATACAAAAATAAAAGCCTACCGGAAAACATATGACTCCCACCAGACATTTTCTTGCCGTTCTTCAGGTTCACAATTTTCTCTTCATTGGAATCACTTTCGACATCATTGTCATGAATCTTGTTCACTTTAGCACTACCCTTATCGCAGGTGTCGCGTGCATCGCAGGTGTCGCGTGCATCATCATCTTAATTAGATTAAATGAGTAAGAGAGCATTCAGGATTGTACGTACATGGTACTGCATCTTACATAATAATGATCATGTATTTTCAATTTGAATCACACACTACAATACCATGCAAAACGTCAATTAGAAAGTTCATCACACCATTAAAAGTAGTACTACATGCAACACATCACTATCTTCATATGTACATCACTATCTTCATCCATACATCACCACCTTCATACATTCCCACTCCACCTTTATGTATCCCCACCCCACCTTCATACATCCCCACCATCATACATCCAAACCTTCATGCATCCACAACTTGATACATCCTTAACTTTATAAATACCCACCCTTATAAAACTCTGAGAAAATCCTTCTCTGTCCTCATTTAGGACAGGTAAACAAAGTTGTCATTTTCAAAACTTGTGCTTTTGACTGATTACTCTGTAAACATTATGAGTTTAAAATTAAGGGCTTTGTGATGGGGAAAAAGAGTCTTACCAAAAATGTGAATTTGAGGTCAATGTAAGACAGCATTATATAATGCTTAACAATGAAAAACTTTAAAAATTCTAAAATCATTGTTTGAATTGGATTTACTTCATTACTGCATAGATTAGGGCAGCTTCCCAACCTTTTTTCCTCTTTCATGATGTAATCACTTTTCACAGTTTCATCTATAATTTTATATACCGATACCTTGACTATTTATTTTGATATGACTGCTTTCATTTTGTCCAACATCATTATCCTTTCTGTCATAAGGTGTATTTATTAGTGACATTTCAATTGCTTTTTCTATATCTCTTTGGTACAACTTTTCACGGACAGAAGGCCTTCAAATAGAAAAAAAATCTCTTGACGTTGTTGTATCACACATTGAAGAAATTAGTGTGTACATTGGATTACACAAGGCGAAACAAAGGCTTATAAAGGATTAGAGATCTACTACAATATCTGTGTAAAAAAGCATGATGCCCTCTAGCCAAAATTAAAAATCTATTTATGGGTCACACCTTCTCTCGCCTTTTTTCTCTTTGTTCATTTCCTTCTCTTTACGCTTCGCCTTCTTTGTTTGTGGTTCAAAATCAACTTCAAAATCATCTGAAACATATCATGAAGTCATAAATACAAAAACTTAGCAATTTAAAACAAGAGAAATCTACATAGAACATACAGGCATGACATTGAAAAGGAAGTAAAGTATGGATCCCGGTCTATTTTTATTGCATATCTACCATATTAATAATCTCAACTTTTTCATAATAAAACAATGTAAAATGTTTAATAGTGCACTAGATCAATCATGGCATCATGCAGCCAGTAAATAATTATGGGGCCTACATTCACATTTGTTGCATCAGTATTTTTTTGAACAGTGTCAATGTAGGTACATGTAAACTGATACAATATAAAATGTACCCTTCTCCTACCTATGTAAACCAGAGTGTATAACCACATACTTTACTGTAAAACAAAGCAATTATAATTTTCATTAATAGCTACGTAGCTATGAGATCACCGTAAGTACAATACTTTACCATCACTTTCACAATTGGAGCTCATATCAGTATAATTAACATTTTTTCTCCCTTTCCTACAAGAGATGATGGTGAAAAATAAAACATGAGTAAAAATAAATGCTTGTAGATGTAGATCTTCAAGGTTAGAGCAGTCCTGAAAACGACTGTTGGTGTTGTTAATGATTGACATTTTGACATCCTTTGATCATCAGAGTCAAGTAACACACCAACACCAAGAATTCTTTTCAGGACTGCACAAAGCTGGACGATCAACATCTAAAAAATATAACATAATAGGTAATGAAAATTATAAATTCTAATATTAAAATCGTCCCAGCTTTATTAATCACCAATACTGTCAACCAACAGTAAAACATGTTTCACCCATATGCCATACCATAGTAGTGATAGTACAAATTGGAATCAAGTGACAAATTTTAGAATTCTTACCTTTTAGATTTTCGCTTAAAGGTCATCTTTAATGAATATTTACAAAATTAAAAAATATGCTATCAGAGAAAATACTAATGAAGTTAGGATTCAATTTTAACTTCTCGTGGTTTTAACATGACTTTCATTATGTAGTTGAATAATCTTATAAAGTTTCGCGCCTTGGCGTCATTACACTGGATCATATCCATCAGGTGGTCATTTGTCCCATTGACACAAACAATAACAACTTTTCTCATGATTTCAACCCTCCGTTTTCTTCCTTTTTTTGTGTTGTCTTTTCAATTTTTGCGTTGACTTTATCAAACTCTGATCGAATGTAAGCATGAACGAAAATTGTAGTAGATTTTCATTCCTAAATCCTAATGTGTATCAAATGTGGTTTGATCTTTAACTTATCAACGTTTTCAGGGTGGGCGAACTACGTAATTTTCAATTTTAACAATTATCATTCCTCGCTTTGTTTCATTCACAGCGTGTTTCTATTTTGATTCTAATTAATTGACATTTGCTTCATTTGTTACGATTGCAAACTTGACAAAACAAAGGAACTCTTTATTCAGAGTTTTTCTTTTCTATGGAGGGTTCTAGTGCACTCGAAACAACAAACCTTTCACTCGCAAATGCCAACGAGCAATTTTCTTCCCAGACCAATATTTTGGCAAGTATTTTGGCAAATATAGACGAGGAATCTACACGTAAACCTGGTAGAAACGCTATAATTGCTTCGGATTCTCCTTCAGGAACATTAGATCGAATGTTAGACCGAAATACATCAAAATCTGACGAAATGAAAAACTCTAATGATCAAACGGGTGAATTTGAAAGATTCGAGAACGTCGAACTTGAAAAGGAAGAGGTTAGAACTGTAATTTTTTAAAGGTTTATTTTTTAATCAATCATAAATCTAAAAGTCCACTCTGTCAAAATATTGTTTTTGGATATAACTATTAAGAAATTAAGTTTTCTGAAAGTTATAATTCAGCACAAATGCATTTACTTGTCTTCTTTCATTTTCATTATATTCTACTCATTTTTGTTTCAGTGTATTTCAAACAACTGCTCATTTTTGAAATCAGCCAACATGTAAAATTAGCTTGATGCAGGAAAAATTTATCCCCAAGGAAGCATAAATGCAATTGAAATAAATTTCATGCTTGAAATTTGTAATAAACAGCATCAGCAATTTGTATGTGAAATTTGTAGGTGTTATTTTACAACTTTCACCATTTCTTTTCACCATTTAGCGAACAACCATTTCCTTTTTATTCAGAAACATCATGAACCCAAAAAAATGTACCGTGTGCAGAAGAAGAATAATCGATACTATTTCCAGCATCCCTACTGCCGACTGATTATAGCTTATGTTATTGTCTTTCTCAATTTCCTGATATATGCAGAAGATCCTGTGTCACACAGTGTGGTTGAAGCTGAATTACCTGTTGTGGGAAATGATGTTGGTTTTTTAATCTTTAGGTAAGTATTTTTTATGCAGTTGACAGAATGACTGAATGACCTATATCAATAGTATGCAAGCCATTTGAACAGGTTTAGAAATAGTTGATGGAAAACTTGAGAATAACATGATAAGGTGCTTTGAAATGGTAGCAAAAACATGCTCATTTCAAAATATAATTTTAAATTTTCTAAGTCCCAGCCAAGATGATGTGCAAATTGTACAAAGCACATTGCTCAATGTTATTTGATCTCTGCAGTTGAGAAGTTGACTATTTGTAATAGTGAAAAGTTCATGTCTTTTCTAAACATTGATTCAAATATTTGCAAACATTTGAATTAATATCTATAACCTCTTTAGCAGATTTTAATATTTTTTCTGAATACAAATTAAACAGAATATTATAATACTATACCACTGTTTTACACCTTTTATACATTCATAGATGTCTTCTGCAATAGTATGAGCCTGGAGAATTATAGCATAAGCAACAAGAGTGACAAGGAGAAGACTCGCATTCGTTGGTATCTATAATAATAAAAAGTCAAAAAAGCTGTAATAACTTGAAATAAACAGTAAGAAAAATGCCTGTTTTTTAAAGGCTTACCCCTAACCACACACACAGAATGAAGTTTCAAAATCCCCTCACAAATTTTCATGGCGTAGCTATGATTTGAAATATTTTGGCAAAAAAACATGCCATTGTTGAATACATTAAATTGCCATTACTTGGCAGGAGCGAGATTTCTGTGTTGCAATCATTGAGTATGAGTTTCATTGAAGTTTTAGAATAAGGGCAAAATTCAGTAATTTCACGCAAACATTCTCATTCATCATATATCATACACCATTTATATCATATATGAAACATATCACCTTGTATACATCAAAAATGTTGAGACTACTATTACAAACAAATTCTAAGAATCACTCGACCAACATTTTTTGATGTCAGGGTCAGGCAGACTTTATAAAGTTTTTGTAAATTCCACTGACGGGTAGCTAATATAATCAAAACTAATATTACTATGGACAATATTGTTTCCGTTATATTGATTTCAAACTGATTGCCTACTTGATGGTACTTGATAAACTAAAAGATTTTTTATATTAAACGGAAATCTCAGGGAGGTAGTAGATCAAGGATGATCTCCCCCTCAGATGATTTTTGTCAGAAATTTTAAAGTTATAAAGAAATGTAACAACAACTAATTGTTCTTAAATTCAGGGGAAAATATTGCAATAAGAGTAATTCAATTGAAAATTCAATACTAAACCTACTATATCTCCAATCTACTTTCTTTTTATGTGCTTGCTGTTGTCATTGTTGATTGATTGAAAAACTTTATTTAAAAAAATTAATTAGCCTTTTCAGCAATAGCTACATGAAAAATAGCAATTGCACTTTTGCACTACACATAATTTTTTGACCATATGTGTTAACTCAAATGACAGATTACATATTTTAAACCAACAACCTAAGAATATTATAAACAATGACGTGGCCTTTAGTTAAGAAATAAAAGTTGTTTAATGTATTTTTGACTCCCAACATCATAAAGATAACGGTCTCTGACAAGGTGCTGGAAAAGTTACACATAAAAATTCAATCACGTACATTTCCTCATCTATAGAATCTACATCAGGTGAGTTCATGGACATATAACAGGAAAACGTTCACAAAAATCCCCGTGTATCCATTGAAATCATAAACATAAAAAAAAACAGGATTCTTACCTTGCCATCTTTAGGAAATACTTCAAAGGAATTCTGGACTTGTGCGAAATATTTGCTTCGACGTACGGTTTCATCACAATGCCGCATGTAACAATACTGAAAAAATCATGAGAAGTTTATCCAACAACACTCATAGAATGATAAGGATAATATATGTTACGCTTGAATAAAAAGTATGTTAAGTTAATTAAGCCATATTTCCCACCTGATTATTCCTGAGAAGTGGAAAAACTCGGCAGTTAAGTACGACATGTAACACATGCTGACGATGAAAATCGGTTCCAGAACTACAGAAGGAAAACAAATTCAACATCATTGATAAATTTTTTATACTTATTTTTTTCAGTAATATTCCGACGCCACAAAACGATCAAACTGAGCCTGGAGTCCGAAACTTGCAGTCAAAAAATCAAAAATTGAAGTCAACACGTTTATGGGAAGCCATATGGAACGCGCATCAAATTGTTCTTTAATAATTGTTCCAGTAATTGTTCTAATAACTGTTCTACTAATTGTCCTAATAATTGCTTAAATAATTGTGCAAATAATTATTCTAATATATATTCTAAAAATTGTTCTCTAATAATTCTTTTGAAGCCACACAGAAATCGCACAGGATTGTTCCCTTATACGTCATGTCGTCGGTATATTTACCTACCGTACATACGTACGTACCTCTCACGTGATCAGTAAAGTTACTAAAATACGCAGTTAAATACGCCCATAATAATCCAATAAGAACACCACCAATACTGACAACACAGAAAGCTGCAATACCGATGAGAACCTGCAATGAAAATGACTTAATCATAATGGAAATCAAATGAAGTTAATGTATAACTACCACACCATAATACGCTCAACCTTTACGGCTACTAACTATGCTCTGGATACCAACATACTTTCTATTATAGTCTGAATATTTTGTATTTGCGACAATAACTTATTTCAACATTTACATCAAGGCCGTAGCTAACTTCATAGCAAATGAGAAGACCACCCACTATACCGCTCGGCTCTATAGTACATAGCTACGTCAGCAGACATCCCATGAAACATCCATAACACATCCATCAAAGGTTCATTTGTAAATTTCGACAACAAACTAACTGTAGATCATTCAGGTTGGTATAGTCCAGGTTCGTATTTTTTATTTTAAAGATGACTACAGCTAAGGTTGTCAAAACGTCAGTTAACAACAACAAAAACAGTCCTTTTCAGGACTGTACAAACCTGGACGGTCTACATTTACAAACATGTAACGATACTCCCGGGTTCAAAGCATTTACTTTATCAGGCTAAGTGTTAGTTTTTGTCATTACGATAATAAAACAAAAAAAAACAACTTTAATTGGGGCGATGAAAAGTCGGTGGTAATTCAATGCATGATCACTCATGATACGAACCTCTCCTATTTCCACAGTGGCCTGGGTGGCTAAAGCTTCGAAAAGTCGATAAAGCGCGACGGTTACAGCATCTAAATTCAACAAGAATAACAGATTTATTCGAAGTTCTCATGGAAAAGACGGGGCGAAAACGCAGCTTTGGTCAGATGAGGCAGCTGGTCAAATATGTTAAAGAAGTATTCAATCTGATACCATATAAATATAGTTTACATTAACTAGTTTTCGTCATGATTTCATTTACATATACATATGTAAAATACAGACAAATTATTTCATTTCAAAAGCAATTTCTCAACGAACAAGTGAAGTACACAGACCTGAAACCGAAAGCAAAACTCATTATTTAAGAGTGATTCACCAAACACTAAAATATAAAGCACTTCGTTCACATGGACTTCTTCAAAGACAGCAAGAACCTAGGACATATTGCCAAATAAATAAAAACACAAGCAAACAGTAAGAAAAGATACAAATATTTCTCCAAAAAGCAAATCAAGTTTAGTAACAAATGACTGAAAATAACGTAAACCAATTCAAAATTAAGAGCGCTGATATCATTTCGTTTCACAAATAACACAAAACGGACTTTCTTATTCATTCATCTGTCTCAACATAAGTCAAAACATCATTAGTGTGTTTCTCCTTCATAAGGCACACATAGATAAAGTATTTGATTACTCACAGCAACAGGATCAACAGCTGCTATGAGACACGAGAAGAGCAACACTTGTAGAAGAGGAATACCAAGATCTGTAGTGGCGTAAAGTGTAATTCCCACAGTAAACGTGTTGAATATTGTTCCCTGAACAAGCAAGTAATAAATTTAATATGTTAATGGCATAGAATGTAAAATTCCCACAGTAAACGTGTTGAATATTGTTCCCTGAACAAGCAAGTAATAAATTTAATATGTTAATGGCATAGAATGTAAAATTCCCACAGTAAACGTGTTGAATATTGTTCCCTGAACAAGCAAGTAATAAATTTAATATGTTAATGGCATAGAATGTAAAATTCCCACAGTAAACGTGTTGAATATTGTTCCCTGAACATACAAGTAATAAGTTTAATATGTTAATGGCATAGAATGTAAAATTCCACAGTAAACGTGTTGAATATTGTTCCCTGAACAAGCAAGTAATAAATTTAATATGTTAATGGCATAGAATGTAAAATTCCACAGTAAACGTGTTGAATATTGTTCCCTGAACATACAAGTAATAAGTTTAATATGTTAATGGCATAGAATGTAAAATTCCCACAGTAAACGTGTTGAATATTGTTCCCTGAACATACAAGTAATAAGTTTAATATGTTAATGGCATAGAATGTAAAATTCCCACAGTAAACGTGTTGAATATTGTTCCCTGAACAAGCAAGTAATAAATTTAATATGTTAATGGCATAGAATGTAAAATTCCCACAGTAAACGTGTTGAATATTGTTCCCTGAACAAGCAAGTAATAAATTTAATATGTTAATGGCATAGAATGTATAATTCCCACAGTAAACGTGTTGAATATTGTTCCCTGAACATACAAGTAATAAGTTTAATATGTTAATGGCATAGAATGTCAAATTCCCACTGTAAACGTGTTGTATATTGTTCCCTGAACAAGCAAGTAATAATTTAATAAGTAAAATGTTTGAGTAGAAGGGTGGAAATGGCTCAGCACACTATTTTCATATTGATCCTCACACACTAGCATGATCAAGCTCAGTACACAGGTTCTCAACAAGTATTAGTGTAACTCAACACTTGCATCATAAAGAATAATTTCCGTCACATCAAATGTCACTAACACACCATAATTTGCTCAATCTTTCTTATTAGTACAAATAACCTATTCATATTTTCACATGATAAGAGTATTTGAAAAAGCTTATAATCTACATTGCTGTTGTAAAATCATTAATTCATGTATGCAGGATAATTTCATATTTAAGTTTTTTTTAAAATCGTTGTCTACAGATTATAACATGCTTATAGGAATATCAGTCACCCAAAATTATCGATGTTCCAACAGCCGTGATGTATATTGCCAACAAGCACCTAACATTCCACCAAACTTACGGTACTTATGATTGAGAAAATAAATCATGAAGGATATAACATACCACGACAGCATAGAGTAAAATTGTCCCCATATTATCAAAAAATGCCCTTCTATGAAGAAAGTAGCCAGCATCCAAAACAATTCTAAATATGAAATACATATCTGTAAATTAAATTTCCATGGTTTCCATAATTAAATTTTTCTCTAACATGTATTCATGATTGACGCAACCTCTGTATTATTGATTTGATTTAGTTTGTTGGGCTCAGATCAGTTTGGGCTCAGACTAATGCCAATGTTACATGGACCAATAACTGCACGTGTTTTATTGCTTTTGTGAAATCTACTCGAATATCACACCAACTAAATGTTGTTATACTTTAGTTTGAAACACATTAAGAATAGTCATAGTTGTTGAATCATCAACACTAGCCTTGGTGCCTTCAACAATATCATGATTTATCCTCTTTATAGTTTCTGGTGTTCAATATTTTGATAATGTCATTGTTTGACAAAGCAAGTGAATCAATCAATTTAAAAGACAACTTACGGTGGCAACATGAACAGAAAGAATATTCTTGAGTTGAAAAATGGAATATCTGCAACACTTTTGAAGTTGGAATAGCTTTAGAAAATAAAAGATAGATAAATGAACAATTTACAAACACTCAGTTTAAAATTTTAAGCTTTGCTTTTTGTCATTATTTTAGTCTTAAAGCACGATCTTACTGTAAAATTAATCCAAGAAGAACGCCAAGCAAAATAACCATGCTGAAAGATATAATTGAGAATGAATTTCTCGAACACACTAACACTGATAGCAGGTTTGGATAAATGGAACTTGTAGCTCCCCATGATTCAGGTACAACTTTTGACAATCTTGAGGTCATATGAAATCCTATATCAAACCAAATGTAAATTATTAACAACTTTTCTTGTACAACCCTCAAATTTTACCTTGGCATGCCAAAGCAAGTGGCTATTTTCATACATTTTGCCAAGATAAAAATACTAAAATTGTCCAACATTGTGAAAATTTTTACTTTGATTTTGAAGGTTACTATATTTATTACACATGCATTATAAATTTTTATGCATAAATTACAAATTGAATACATTGAAACAGACTTTTACAGGCATTATACTATTTATTTTTTAAGTATGTTTTCCTCATATGTAGTAAGACTACCAGAAACATGGTTTTCAACCAAATTCTAGCAAAAGACTCAAAAGTAAATACATGAAAATATTATATTTGAAATGAACACTTAAATTTTTATTGCATTTCGTGCTTCCTGGCTGTAATTAGCAATCAGACTGTCACGATGACAAGCGACATATTGCTTCTAACTAATTTAGTCGGTCAACGTAAGTCGATTTTTATCAAGTAAATAGGAAAAGAAACATACTCTTCATTCCCTATTATAGAAAATGGTTTGCTGAAAAAATTTCAAGATCATTCATAGGTAGCGTAGTATCGCTCTACGTGGGAGAAGTCTGAGTTATGTAACTTTATTTTGTATTTAATTTTAATTGCAGTTTCGTAACAGCATTTACTTGTCACATAATAAAGGTTTACTTGTTCAATAAAGACGAACATTTCATTGAATGAAGCATATAATTTGCTCTCGAGCAGGTGTTAAGCCGCTTTTTATAAAATCGACTTTCGTATGTATTTACAAATCCAAGACCTCATGTGGATACAAGGAGATTAAAACTTACATATCTGGCAAATATCAAAGCAAAATGAATGATAAAATATACAAGCACTAAAGACATAATGAAAACATTTACCACGAAATGTTGCTTCAAGTTAAGGAACATATAAATCAAAACAAAAGATGTTAAACAAATAAATCTGGTTAAAACCTATGAACGTACCGACTTTGAGTAGAGTGGCGAGCAACACCCATACTGTTATGATAAAAGACCTTGCAATATATTCAAAATCTAATTTCGCCACTTTGATTTTGTGTTCATGACGACGAGGTTCATTCTTCTCACTTCCATTATGATTTGATGTATTTTGGTTCGTATTATTAACAGGTTTCTAATCCACGAAAACGACAAACTGATTACAAAATATAAACAAACTCAAAGTACATAAACAAATCGTTTCCACACGAGCATTCATCATAATTCCAGATGGTTTATCTGGAATCCATACTCGGTTGTCATTTGCCTTCTTTAAACAAAAAGAAGACCAAAAATACGTTTTTATTCTGAGCAACACCGGTTCTATTGTGAACTCGTCAAACAGCTATCATTAATATTTATCACTTCCTCAGAAATCAAAACTGCAACGTCAGCGGTTTAAGATGGAGTTGCCATTACCCGATGGGGTAGTCAGCCCGTACAATTTTCTCGTAGAAGCAAGTTACTTTCAGTATTCAATAAAAGTTCTGATTTCAACTACAATAGAGGGTACTTATTTCATGCACCTTGTAATACTCTTGATCATTACAACGATAGACTTAAAATTTGAATTTTTTTTATTTAACTAGAAATATTCTATATACAGTAGGTCAGCTCAATAATTTCCATTTATAAAACTAAATGACGCTAAGTAATACAATTAAGAGTCAAAACAAACGGATTTGTGTTCTTAATTAGCTGTTTACGACGGAGGAATAACACGAATGTTACTAAGGAAAGGAAGTAATAATGTCTGATATATTTTACTAAAGTAGATACTTTTTTCGATATAATTTCAGTATTGAAAAAACAGTCAGTGATGAATTTTCATAAACATAAGTTCCATAATCCAAGTTTTTATCAGATGAAAATTTCGAAATATATGTTTCTTTATTTATCGCCTCTTTCAAATGTCTTTAACAGTTTTAATAAGTTGACTAAATTCAGTAAAGTGTCTAATTTTAGTCTTATCTTTAAATACTTAAAACTTGCGTGTTATCGTGTTCATTAGGAATGGCTTTCATCTTTTTCGATTTCCGCTAACGAAAATATTGTTCATCCGTCTTCAATAACTATCAATAGTGCATGACAGTTACTGCTGAACATATGCCTGTACGAAGAGAACTAAAACTGATTTTTCAATCCTGAAATTATACCAATAAGTTAAAATCTAGCCTCTGGACAAGTTTTCATTTCCAAAATTTATGCTTTAAGCAAGTCCTTTTCACAATATACCAGAAAATGTTGAAACTTGCATGTCAATACAATTTAGCGCTGAATGTTGAAACTTGCATGTCAATACAATTTAGCGCTCTTCACTATTGTAAAATTATTCTTAAGCCGAACGATTTGTCGACAATGACAGTCTGAGTACAATATATGATACTACGTAGCAAAGAGGGACAAACAATGGATTGAATTCTGGCTTGCGTGATTCCGATTTGAAGCACTTCAACTATCTGTTGATGTTGTTTTTAACAGTATCACCGTTCGCGTAATTATTCTCTTTTTTCTATAAAATCGAGATAGAGAAATTCTAAGCAACTACTCAACCATCAAAATGTAAAATCGCACATTGTACTACGTTCACTATCATCCCTTATGAAGAATTTCATTGCGCATTACTTGAAAATACATTTTGAAGCAAAAACTACACATCTTTCATTTACAACATTTTGCCATCCCACATTAAAATTTAGCCATCGCGATTCGCAAACATGTCCTTTTGGCTCTTAAACATACGTAGCATTCATTTCAGTTATATAACTCATTTCTTACCTTACAGACGCAATTAAATTTCGTGACAATCCATAAAATTATGACGATGATTACGACCAGCAGAAAAATGCCAAATATAGCACACAGTGCTAGTAAGACCTTTCTGTCTACAATCTCCTGGACACTTGTTGCAGTGGATATCTTACATTGAAACACCAAGAGTTAGTATGAAAGGAAAGTCATTGGTGTATCTGCTATGTGCTTCGGCTGGGCAAAGCCACGGGAAGCCAAGCAATCAGCTTGGAAGAAGACACCCTGAAGAGAGCTATTTATAAAAATAAAGACAAAAAGTATGTGTATATTTCGTTAAGTGGATGCAGTGGATGTTTCTCATTCAGAGTCATTCGTGAATTCGTGTTCCATGAAAGTAAATTGGTAATTTTCTGTACAAAAAAAACCCAGTTCATATTGTGTCCTATTAACGATTATCAGGAAAATGTTTATGTTTTCAGGTTTCGTTGGGGGGGGGCACCCCATCTTGTAACTTGGACAGCCTGGTTCTAACTTACGGCACGGAGAAAAGCCTAGATAGCTTTTGCAAGCAGTGATTCTACATTCATTCTACCGAACTTGAAAATCGATGTGCTCAGTCTGGTCTGCAGTTCTAATTTGTTAATCCTTAATTAAAATACAGTTGACAAACAATCACAAGAAACTTACTGTGGTTGATGTTCTGATGGTCTGCTCAACCCGCCTCCAGGCCAGATGATGTGCCTAGCAAGAAAAATATCAATTTTTCAACATAAGTAAAAGAAAATTGACGTCAGTTGACCTGAAGGAATAGTTCTACATGTTATTTTTCTTGAATATTGAAAGTATATCTTCAAAGTTAAGTAACCCCGTGAGCTGGAGACCATCTTCGGCTGTATACGTAACTACTTTGACCCAACTCTCGCCCTAATCAATAACACAAAACAAAAATTCAACAAAACTTTCCTTATTGTTTTGATAGCATGTCAAAAGAAACACCACAGAGAAAAAAAATCCTCCCCCGAAATTTATTGCTAAAAATTCTAAATGAATGAAACCAGATAATCAAACACAGTGCAACTCATACACATAAGTAATTTGCCAACCGTCACATGAAGAATGGGATCACTATTTGTTGGTAACAGTCATTGTTTAAAGCAGTTTGAAGATTGCCAAAATTATCTTTCAAAACAAAGCAATTGCAATTGGCCTTTTAAAAACCGACTTGGATTCATTCATTTAGCACAGAAATTAAATTATCTAGAGAGGAACGTTCTTTTTTGTGTGGTGTTTAGTTGGAACCACTGAAAGGTAAAGAATGATGAAAATTCTCGAAAGATATTATTTCCCAAAGTTATATGGCGTGAAAATTCTCGTTGAAGATTGTCATTCAACAGACATGCAAAAAGTAATTGTCATTGCGAGTTTTCCAAACAAAACGACAATTTTTTCGATTCCATTACTCACATTAAGATTAACAACATCGTAAATGGGTACTCCATCTTGTTTTTCCGAGAAATATTGTCTTCCTCCGGTTGTGCCTTCAAAACCAGTCTGCTCATTTCGCATCTTTTTTAGTTCGTTGATCAAATGTTTCCTAAGAACTCGTCGGCTCGTTTTCTCGTTGATGAGATCAACTTTGTAGAGACGTTGCAAGGCAGTGGCATACGCTAAGACAGCATCGAACACTTGGGGGACATAACAGGAAACCTGAATTATTCATATTAAATGAGTCATGGTCGATTTTAAAAAGTTAAAGATGAACAACAGTAATTAGTGTAAAGCATGTCTTCAATATGGCCATCTTTTTACACACAACCCACAAAACAAAAAACAAACATGCTCTATTCTTCAAGTGTGGATTATACCAGGATATTTATTTCGTTCGCTATTCTTCCACTCCTTAAGGAACTTCTCGTAAACGGCGCCTTTTCCACTTTTTGGTCTCGTTCACACCATGCCTTGCATTGCACTCCGAAGATTCGGGGATCGTTTGAAGGTAGATGACGTCGATCCATCGCCGCCCAGCCACGTCCAACCCTTACCCGTCATACCCTATAGGAAATTGTAAAGCATATGGACAATAATGTCATGTGAAACGATTATTAGTATGTAAGGTGTTTGAGCTCAAAGTTTTTCCGCTTGGAGTAGGTTAAAGTAGAAAATCCACATGATAGATATGTTAAGTCTGTCTATTAGCATGAAAAGTCATTCTCGAATCACCATGTCGATTGCAGTTTGAAATATCATTTCAGCCTCGTCAGTTCTTGAGATGACAAGATTCACAACCGTTTTACTCTTCTTTATCTACAATGAAAAGACAAACAAAAGGATTTTATTCCGAAAGCAGACCATCCTCGCTACCTTTTCCACATTACATTTCAATGCATCCATAAATCATTTGTACTCATGACAAGCTTTAACAACTGACCTCTTTTAGATGATTAGCAACATCTTTGTAATCACCATGTTTCATTCGCTCCTGAGCACCCAAAACAATGTTTTCTTTAGTGAGGATTTTCTCCGTAAGGCGTACAAGTTCCCGGCTATATTCGTCCTTTACGGCAATTGTCCCCATCTTCTTCCACTCGTGAATCTTCACCAATTCGCCATGTGCTTTTGCTTGATAAACGTCGGACGGACAAGTGCGAAAGAAAAATGGAAACTTGATTTTGTCAGAGAGAAAAGAAGACGTCGACGCGTACAAAATTTGAGGTACTAAGGTGTGATTCGTCTGTTTGGAAATAGCAATAGAACATTTCGAACGTGCTTCACCAATGATCATGTCAACATTAGAAGAAAGAGTCTAAATAAAAAGTTGTCAAGCTCAGCAAATATCGTTCGTTTAAGTCTATGGACTTGAGTTCTGAAATATATATTTAATGAAGATTGCATGTATTTGTGATTCAGTAAGTATTTTAACCAATAAATCAACTTGTCAATCTTTATTTACCCTTGACAATCAATACTCCCCTCTGTCATTAAATGATTCAACTTGTCAATCATTTATTCTCTTTTCAACCAACACCCTGTCAATCAATAGCTCTCCCTGTTAGTTAATATGTCACTTTGTCAATCAATAATTCAACTTGTCAACCACTTATTTCTTTTTCAACAAAAACCCAGTCGATCAATAACTCTCCCTCTTAGTTTAGATGTCATTCTGTGAATCATTGATTCAAATTGTTAATCATTAACTTACGCTGTCAAAGTATTATTTTCCGCCCACTGAGGAACGAAAAAGTTTGTTCTTGCAACTACACAGCTTGACTAAAGTCCCACCCACCAACAGCACTAAAGACATATGTATATTGTTAACTAAGACTGTTGAGTTAGGCAGCTACTTGTGGGAGCAGGGCCGCTTAGCCGATGTAATGGTAGCTGTATTAACTGTTTTTATGAGTTTAATAAATGTCAAGCTTGCGGCGGATTGGCTGCATCAGCTCCCAGTTGTGTGTGAGAGCAAAATTTAACCCAAACCTGAACATAAATACACTTACCGCGGCTCTTTTACGACACGAGTCTACATCTTTAGTGGTTTCTATAATGTCGTATTCAAGACGAATGTTGTACAACGAATCACTGTTGATAGTGTTGACGGCGATTTTAAAAGCAGATTTCTATAATGAATTTAAAATAAGCAGGCATAATAATACTTTTATTTAATTTCAAATGACTCGTTGAGTAACTGTTGATGATGTTTGTTTAAAATTATGAAGTTTACTTTCCACTTGAATTTTGTCAGGGATGGGCCCAGGATGACTTTTGGGGGTATAATATGACCTACTTTTTATAAGATATCTTTCGTTCAATGTAGTTAGAATTATGTCTTTGGTGATTCAATTGCAAATGTTATTTTGTCACTCATATATCAAACTTTTTATGTTTGATTTGAGATCCTAGAAAATGTGTAGTTTGACAGTTTATTTTGCTAAATTGGTTGGTACATTAATATTCTGCTGGGAAATTTACACTCCCTGCACCCTTCCACTAAATCCATCCCTGGTCATTTCGTAATGGTGCTTAAATCAAATAAGGCAGATATTCAAAGCTTCAAATCAGAAAAGTTGTACATAATCGTACCATTCTTCTGCAAGATCAGCAAGCGGACCAAATGTTTTACTCGTAGGAAAGAACGCCGCAATCCTATACGATGGTTTGACAGGTAACACTATCGGAATTGTTACACTACCGGGAAAGATTGGATTTCGGAACAACGACACACTTCTTGTTTGATGAATGTAAATACCGACAGTTTTCCACTGTTTTCCCTGAACAAACAACAGAACGAAGTGAAGCTAATGAATCCTCCCCAGGGGGGTATAAACTTACACGTATCATTTACTCACCACTAAATTCACAAATACAAAAGCGGGGGGTCCCGTTTGTTTCTTATCGAAATACATGGTTTCCAGTCCACCGACAGAGCTAAGGAAACCAGCTTCTTTCTTGTTTGCTCGTTTTAGTCTGTCGTAATAAGCTTTTCTCATGTCAATGATTTTCGATTTGCTGGTGAAAATTTCTTTCCTCGCCAGCTCTGACAGTTCCAACGCCATTCCGTGAATAGCATAAAATAAACGAGCAAGATACGTTGTTTTAGAATGACTCTGTAATGAAAGAAGTGAATGTCAAGATGATTTGCACAACCTACAAATCTAATACGAAAAATCACTTTCTCAATTTGTTTTGATAGTTTCAAAACACGACAATTTCTTAATAACGTTTTATTATTATGCATCATTACTATCTATAAACTTTTAACCAATACAACAATTTTTATTACATTTTTCTTCCGGAATAGCGAGAGGCTTCACGTCTCGCTATAGCCAACATGAATTGATCAAACAATCTTCCTTCGCCGTCTAAAAGTATGTAATGTTATATATTATCAAGGGAGTCGAAATCAATGACGAATAATGCATCAGAATATCTTTGGGTTAAGCCATAATTTGGTATTATCATTAATTGATGTAAATCCTGTTACTTAAAATACTACATCTTCAAACTAAAAAAACTTACGTCTCGGATGGACGCCAATAACGCCTTGCATTGCATCCTGGAGATTAGCTGCATCTTCAAACACCGATGTGGTAGCCTTATCCGATCCAATCCAAACCCAATCCCGACCAACCATTTCTAACTCCCTCAATTGTTGAAATACAACTTCCGCATCGTTACGAACCATAAACACCAATCCAACATGGCAACCATCACGTTTTAACTGGAAGCAAACATTTACAAACAAGTCAAGTAAGTGAGCAGGCGTTCTTGCATCAAAACTACAAAATGAATGATATTTTACCTTTGCAACTTTGGGCCTCACGATTCCAGCATGAGCTCTGACTTGAAATGTCTCGGTGACAGTAACAGAGACGTTGGTCTTTGAAAGTTCAGCAAGGACAAGTTCCGTAAGATTTCGTCCATAAACGTCGTCAGTTGCTATAGTACACACCTTCACGAAAACAATATCAAGTTACACACCACGCAGTAAATTGTCATGCAAACGTATTCATTGTTAAGGTTGGGTCGTTTGATAAAGAATAAGATAAAAAGGCAACTAATCACATATATCATTGATCATGTCACAAATTAAACAGTTCCTATTGATTTCATTTAAACGGTCCGTAAAAACTTTACGAAAAAAGTCTTTCTGCGAACGTAGGCCAAAAGTAAGTAAGTAACGTGGTTTCGCGCGGATACCACGAGAGTACCACGCGACCATTTTTGCACTAACATCACTTAGAAAAGGATTTAAATCTTTGATCCCTTTATAGACCAAAAGGTGGTGACTTGAAGTTAAAATGCTGAGACACTGTAATCAAATGGCACGAGAAGATGTAGACAAACCTTTTTCCATTTGTAAAGCTTTATAAGCGCAACTATCGCTATGGCTTGAGCTACGTTTGACGGAGCGGTACGAAAAAAGTACTTGTACGCTGACGAAACTTCAGATAATTTGCTAGATGTTGAAGCGTATGATATCTGCGGTATCATGTTCTGGTCTTCTCCTGAACGAGGGCAAAAAAAATTTAACAGAATTATATGAATTTCACACGACTTCCAGCAAATTTCGACGTCTTTCATGAAGTGTTAAAAGACAACTCGTTACAAGAGCAGGAGGCCAATGTTTAAAAAAAGACTGCTTATTGACTTTACTTTTACTTCATGTGTCAAGAAATGAACATACATTGACTTCATGGCAGACAAATCATTTTTTCAAAGACATATCACAAGCTGTAGTCTAAAATAACTAATTGTCTTGTTGTCCACGTTTTGTGCATGGTGCGGTGTAACGTTTGTGATTATGTTTCGGCTGCTTGCTTTGCTTTTTACGCATGGTGGAGGCACGCCTGGCCAAAGACAGTCCTTGAGCTAACAAGTTTGAAATTGCATTTGTTGAAACAGGTTGAAAATGACACACAACGTGCCACTAATTTTTGACTGAATACTAGCGAAGTCACTAGAGTAAATAATGGATTTCATACCAATCAGCTTGACTAACTCTCTCGGTAACAATTTATCAGAACAATCATCTGAGCATGCACACTGCATTTGACCAACTATTCGAGTTCATAGTTTTGGCAATAACCAACTATATCATCTGAACATGCGCAGTATAGTCTTGACTTTTCTTACCTAATACATCAGCAGCTTTCATTGAGCAAATGGATCTATAGGCGCCAATAACAGCCACAACACCAGACTTAACAAATGACTCCGCAATATCCTGACAAGATTGTGATGGTGAGATACCGGAGTCTTTTTCAATGCCAAGGAAGTCTACAGCCGTTATTGAACATTTCCAATGCAGTCTGAAATCCCTCCAGGTATTGCTTTCCTAGATCAGGCAGCCCACTTAATCCTGGGAAAAACGGTGTGATGAAACCGATTTTCAACGTGATCTTGCCAGGTTCTCCTGTTAGAAAGGAAAGTGAACCGATAAATAACGCTACAAATAAAAGAACATTGATAATATACATATTTTTCAACATCAGATCACTCTTAATGAAGACACTAGACTGGAGTATAACAACGCAAGTTTCATCATTAGATCACTCCTAATGAAGACATTACACTGGAGTATATAAGAACTCAATTTCAACATCAGATCACTCCTGAAGAAGACACTAGACTGGAGTATATAGCAACTCAAGCTTTAACATCAGATTTCTCCAAAAAAAAGACATTAGAACATAAAGAAAAAACATAAGAACGTAATATCCAACCATCATCACTAGGAGGTTGCATCGTGTCGCCAGGCCATCTTATCTTGCCGGGTTGAAGCGACAACAATCTAGTACGTTCCCAATAGCCAACAGTAACCCACTTTTTGTTCTAAAAATTGTTCGTAATGATCAAAAACATTCTTGTTAGCAATGATGCTTAAAACCACATTCATCAATTAATCAATACTATGATGAAAGATGGCAATGTAGCAAAGAACCAATCGCTTTGCTTTTGTGCCGAATCGTTTCAAGAGATCCGATCTATACTTCATGTAGCGATAAACATACACACCGCAAAATTTTTGATGTCATAGTACGGTGGAGCATCTTAATTTTCGTCAAAATATGAAGGAAGACCTAAACATATATCGAAGGATCTTCGTAACCTTAAAAAACACTCAATGATATTTAAGAACAATCAAGTCAAAGGAGACGACAAAGCTGAGACTGTAGTATAATACCTGTCGCACTTTCAAAACCATTTTTCGACGTAGGAGCGTTGAAATTTTTCAACTCATCATAAACGATATCACGGAGCCTTGTGTTGCTCTCGCCCTGTCACCAGCAAAAATTTTCGAAGTGAATTATAAAATAAACACGACGAAACGCGTGTGCTGATTGGTTTAGAGCTGCGTTTGAATTAGCCTGTTAAAAACGATCTGAGGATCTGAGCTCAACCAATCAAATCATTTAATCAATCAGAGAGAATTTGCAATTCAATCATGAATATGCGTTAGAAGAATATTAAAATTTTTTGTTTGTTTCGCATTATTGTTATTTTATAAAAGAAATAAAAGATGTTTTACGCGTTTGCACAGGCTTATGCAAACGACGGAGACGTTTGTGTGAACTCTCGAGCATGTGCAACCCTCGACCTTCGGTCTGGGGCTTGCACTGATCTTCTCTCGAGTTTTTTCAAAGGTCTTCACGGTTTGCATAAGCCTGTGAAAACACAGTAAGCATCTTTCATTTCTTAAATGAATGAGTGAATTCAGCCCTCCTGACAATCATAGAACATGTATTATTTATGAAGACAATCGACTCCATTATATGACTCAAATTATAAATCCTTGTAAATGACATTAATCCAGATCAGCGTTAAAAATGCATAAGCTCGTAGAGTTTTGTCTTGCATTTCTCTCATCACTCGCATGCCTTTATGGCAACAGGTTGAAGCGATTCAACATACCGGTTGAATGATTCCTTTCCTCGACAGTTTGTCAAAAGCTCTAAAGTACGCAGATACGGCATTGAAATCTTGAGGAGAGAACAATGACATATCTGGTTCCTAACGTAAAAGAAAAAAATATACAGACCTTGAAACGTTGACTTACAAGGGAGGAGATGGATCAAGGAAAATCTGTACACCCTCTTAATTACTACAACATATAATGTTAAAATAGAGACTGTCGTGGTGACAAATCTGAAAATACTTTTAAAGATAGCAAATACCATAGTTAATGGTAAAAGTAATATAGTAAGTTGATAGTTCTTAAAAGAACTGTTTTAAGTAAAGAGCACCAATCCAATAGTTCTAATTTAAACGACACGATGCATTTCGGCAAACTACTCCAAACATATAATGCAGACTCTCCCTAGTCAACCATAATATACTAGCATCAAAGACAACTTATTACCCGTACAAAAGTGTAGAACTATAACCACAAAAAGTGACAAGTAACCAGACAATGACAGCACTAAAGTTTGTCAAATACTTACATCACTGTACCAAATTGCTCCAGGACATTTTCCTTCTTCTTTGGTGGTCCATTGGACAAGAAGTTCCAAGTGTTTTGGACCACTGCCGGATTTTACAGATAATCCATCCATTCCATCCAAAGCCTGTTGCAGTGCCGGTTCATTGATAAACGATGCAGCCGTGACTTTGCTTGACGTGAGCCAAACCCACCCCTCTCCCTTGGGAAGGGCGCTGATAACATTGATTCTCGTTTCACCTTTCTTGATATACAAAAATTGTTTATTATCAACAATTTCATTCATTGAAAATTAGACCATCGACCTGAATGAGTTTCTTCCACGATGAAGAAGGCAAAAGATAAAGGACCAAGCCTGTATAACTTTCTGTTGAACATTATGAGAGGTATCCCCTCGACTGAATCGTGCAGACTCCACAACGTTGACGCTCCTCTTTTTCACTTCTTTCTGAAACGCATTTGCGAAGTCTTGACCATCCAAATCACCAGTCACCATAGTGCTCACCTTCAAAACAAAACGTAGTCACTGGATGAACGAGTGAGCATATTCAAGGGAAAATGCCATTTATCTCAAAAATACAAATAGTAATTTACAATTAAAATTAAAAGCAAACGCATCATCTGGGTCCTAAATATCTCAACCACCTGGATCACGTGAGTAAATAAAATTTTCTGTTTAAGAATCTAATCACGTGGCATAACTAGCCAATAGCTACGGTTCTGAGATCGATCTCGGGCATCCCAGAGTGGAAAGGATAGATCTGATAGCTTATATATTATGCAACATACAATTTCCGAAATTAGTACAGTGAAGGCCACAGGTACGATTGCACAATTCTTGATATAGGTATAGCGAGGCCACTGGCTTTTCAGTCTATGCCTGTAATGTGTTTTCCCCCTTTTTAAATAAAATTTCTACGATATGTAACTACCTTCTTCCATTTGTACATTTTGATGATATTGGCAAGAGCTTCCGCTTGATGGATGTCGTTCGGAACTGTACGGAAAAATCTCGGATAGTTGAGCTTATCCGAGAGCTCGGCAGCCGTAGAACCATAGGATATTTGAGTCAAGGTTTGAGCTAAAAAAAGAAAAAAGATGACTTAATGGTTGATGACGTAACGTTAAAACGAGCAGCAAGAAACTTGTTCAAGTCATCGCATCATGGACAGAAACACGTGATAATTTCGTAGGTGATTTATTTGAAATGGAGCTAACACTTTGTTTTGAAGAGTTGATTTAACACGACGGAGCAAGTTGATCTGAAAGCACCAACAACACCGACTATATCAGGATCGGCAACGAACTGTTTGGCTACTCGCAGACATTGGTCCTTGTCATTGTAACCGCTGTCTTTGACTTGACCTATGAGATGCAAAAAACAATAAAGTTGAAATGTTTTTATCAACACATATGGTTAAACACTCAAACTTACTTGTGAAGTCAGCGACTAACTCAATTTTACTCTTCTCTTTTCTAGCTCTCTTGTTCTATTCTTCCACCGATAAACGGAAAATAGAATCAAACTCTCGACCGAGGGTTGCTGTGGCCGCCAATCTGTTATTCAAAGGTGCAACAAAGCCGAGTTTTATCCTGATTTTGTCAGGCTTCGTCGTATTTGTATTAGCACATATACCTGAATAAGAAAGAATTGTAAAACATTAAAGAATGAATGTTAAAAATCAACAAACTTGAAGTTAAAGAATAATATGGAGGATTGCAGCCAATGACGATAACGGCAAAATAAAGAACTCAGGCTCAAAATAGATGAACATGGCTTCTTACTCATGTCATAAGCACTTTACACAAAATGGGGGAACACATTTATGGGTTAGCACTATTTTCCACCCAGCAAACCGCCCTTTACTTTGAAATATAATATTTTACACAATATAATATTTTACACAATCTAATATTTTACACAATATAATATTTTATATAATATTTTACACAATCGTCGAAAAACGACATATTTTCCAGCCTGGATTATAAGTTTATAACTTAAGGTGGTTGCATGAAAATTTATACTGCAACATTTATCTGTAATTATTTTCATATGTTGATATTAAAAACTGTATATAAAAATATAAAATTACTCGCCTTCTCAAAACGACCTAGCACCAGTGCATGCATGGTTTCCTTTTCGCTTTTGGTTCTTCCCCATTAGCCGCCATCTTTAATTTATTAACGATTGTGTAAAGTAAAGGGCGGTTTGCTGGGTGGAAAAGAGTGCTAACCACATTTATGATGACGCCAACCGAAACATGTATGACGTCACAACGAACTAAACTCATGTTGGAAAGTGCTTTCTCAATGTTATAGCTAACACAGATTTTTCCATAATTAATGTCACTTCAAAAACAGACCTGCTATTGGTAAAAAATATCACGTATCGTAATGGATAAACATATGTAGGTATATATGACGATATGAAAAGGTCAAAGTATGGATTTCATAGCATTATACGAGTCGAAACTTTGGTATGATGTTAGACAACCTCGTATAACAGCATCAAAAGTCAAAAGATGCTTAATAAAACCAACAACAAGTCCTACCAAAGCTATTGCTGATGTTCTTAACTATCATACACCAATTCAAACCAAAGCAATGAAGGATGGAATTGAATCAGAAGCTGGCATACTTAAAAAATATGAATTAATTTCTGGAAATACTGTTAGGAAGGTGGGATTTATCATTTCCTCTACTCATCCTTTTCTTGGGGCATCACCTGATGGAATAACAAATGACAATGTACTACTTGAAGCAAAAAAGGTCACCGCCAAAGAGAATGAATCTTTCATGGATACATTGTGCAGGTTGTACATTTATAAGAAAAAAAATGGGAAACTTTACATAAATAATAATCATAAGTATTATTACCAAATGCAACAACAATTGTTTTGTGCTGGTGGAAAAGTGTGTCATTTTGTTGTTTCTAATGGTATTTGGGTTCACATTGATGAAATTTGTTTTGATGAAGTGTTTTGGAGTAAGACTCTTCCTAGACTACAGCAATTTTATTACACCCATGTTTTTCCAGAACTTGTATATCCCAATATAAAATTTAATTGTGAAAGGTGGGGCAAAATTGTTCAATTCCCAGCCCAATTGTAATATAAAAGTTGTATTAAATATATTAATTTGTAAGTAATGATCATAAATGTTAAAATTTTGTAATTTTACCGTCCTATACACAGAGTTCTATTTACAATAATACAGACCGCAACATTTCATTTTGTCCAAATCTGATACATTGTGTCAATATTCAACTGCCCTAAAAATAATTATGTTATTAAAGGCCAGAAATTTGATATACAAACTACTACAATCCATATGTCTGAGGCAATATCAGCAAGAGAAATGGGCATTGAGCGATCAAATATATGCCAGTTTTTTATTCTTTCCATGCACCTTTCTACATGAATTCGTAAACATGCTATTTTCTTGTTATGTTTGCTTTCTTCTACAGTAAATTGAGATTTTCCTTTGAGAAAATGAGGTATAACAAGTGATGCACCAACTTCTGCTAGTTCATCTTGTATTAAAAACCCTTTATCAGCCATAACAGCATCACCATAATTTAATTTTTCAAGATAACCAGATCTTTTTATTATTTCAGGATCACTAATTGAACCTGAGAAAAGGTCACTGGCAAATGACACAACCCCATTTGGTGTAATTCCCACCAAAGCTTTCATTGTGGAGTGAGATTTGTAGCTTGAATAGCAGGCTGCCTTATTGTCCAGGCTGGAGGGTGATTCCATTCTAATTTCAGTGCAGTCAATTATTGACACAACATCAGGACATAGTTGCTGGAATTGCAAAGGCATAACTGACTGAATGAGTTGTTTGCTAGGCCATTGAATACATAATGGCTCAAGCTCTTGTCTCATGAATTTTACAATGACAGAAACAGTGGAAACAGCAACCCTAAAACGATGAGCAAGATCTTTTCTAGTAATCCAAGTCAAGCCTTAAGAGTACCATAGTGCCACTTTGTTAACTTTCGTTGACGGTTGCCAGAATTTGATGTATTGCTGTTTGTTTGAAAAACTCTATAATGAATTTTGTGGGTTTTGTCTTTCAATAGGTCAAAGCACATTAGGACATGGCTATAGGTAGGAAAGCCAGTATAAAAGCAATGTTGTCATTGGACATTTTATAATTATCAAGGTCAAATTGAGGCTCGTTGTTTAATTTAAATGTGAGCACCTGCACTTCTTCTTTCAATTGTTTCACTTCCTTTTCTAAGACAGATATATTTCTGTTCTTTTGACGAATCTCTGCCCCTCTGGACTTCAACTTTCCAATCTCTTCACGTAGAGATAAAACATATCTCCTGTTTTGTTGGAATACTTTCCCGACATTCTGTATGCACAAAAACTGAAGACTTTTAGGATTTGTAATACACGGGTTTCCATGACTTTCATCATTTTTTTCTTTGCCAATTTCAACAACATTGCAATTGTTATGATGGCAATCACTATCTTCCGTGTGTCTTTTTCGCTTTCGTTCATGAAAATAAATATCGTTTTTTACAATATCCCTTCTTGTAGCAAGTTTCTTCGTCCATGGAAACAGTGATGGCAACTGGTTTGTAAAAGATCTTGCTCCTCCAGGAAAATGTGCACCGCAAATTCTCGTACTAGCAGACAGGAACTTTAAGTTGTCGTTCTTGATCAAGATGTCGTACTGTTTCCGAATATTGTGATCGGTTGGAATTCGATGGAAAGACAGAGAAGGAGAATTAAGCCAGTTGTTATTACAATCAGGTACGCAACAATTCCACTTTCCCATATCAAAAAAGAGGTTTGTTTTATAATTACAGCTATAATTAAATGCCTTACTCCGTTATTTATGTGTACTGTAGTTGTTTACGACCTAGTAAAGCAAAGCTTCCCCTCAAATATACCACAATGCAACGTGCGTTGTCGACTAGTAACTAGTCTTCGCAGTGTAATTACCATTTCCGAAACGGCGAATACAAAATACAAAACTATAAACATTGATATGAATATTTCTGGAACAAAAAATTATTGATGTCGTGTAAAAATGGAGGGCGTAGGGCAAATATACCCCGTCCAGTATAAAATAAAGCTTTGCTTGCAGTGATGAACGAATGCTTTATCGTAACATGTTCAAAGTTCGTCATTTACGTGAAGCAGACATTCCAAAATGATATTTTCTCGTAGATGTTGCCGACACGAACTGAGTGCAAGAACAGGGCGTTTTTTTGTATTCGCACACCAAGGTTACCATAGAAACCAAACAAAACCACAAACGACTTGTGTTGCTAATGACCAGGTCTGAAAGATCAACGTGCGACATACGTAGAAAGGACCTAGGTTTCTGCCGTTTATAAAACAGATCACTGGGGAGTTTTGGTCAAAAAGGCAACCGAGGCTATTGAAATCTATCGCAAATACCAGTTTTTGCATGTCAATACTTGGGCATCATTTAAGGTTAATGGCAAAAGTTTTAAATCGTAGGATAGACATGCAAAACTGCCACTTTTAAATCATTTTATAGACAATAGTGATGGAATTTAGTATGGATAAGTTTAAGGAGCCAGTATTGAAAGCCATATAATTGTACTACGTATTGTATACAAAAAGGACTCGAAAATAAGTTTGAAAAAAGTAGAAACATTTTTATGAGGTACAGTTAACGCTCTTGAGAGTATTTGCGTGAAAGTTATATACTCTTGATATTTAATGTGCAAGAGAGAACCAATAATTTAAATATGCAAACGTACAACAGTTGGCTACAAGCGCAAGCCAAAAACTAAGTTTCAAACGACTTTCTCTCCCTAAAAATTTGTAATAGACCGTATAATTTCGCCATTCAACTATCAAAAAGAACTGTTCAAATTTTCTTTTTTTATATAGGAAGACGTTATAGCTAATATTACAAATTAACATTCTGCTGTTAATCATATTTAACCACGGTCAGATGTCCCACAACAGTTACAAATGACATTTGACGTATATATATATTTTTGTAGATGTAGATCACTCATGACAATAAAGTCCTAAGAAGGACTGTTCGTGTTGATATTGACTGACGTTTCGACAACCGTAGCGGTAGTCATCTTAAGAGTTCCCGGGCTCAAACCATTCACTTTAAGACTTATACATAGTTGAACTTCATTCCAACACCACTTAGTAAAAGAACAATTATTCAGTGGATAAGAAGAATCTAGACAATTTACTGAATTATACGTCCAAAACCAAGAATCAATGTTAAATATCGTGGAATGGTATTGGTAAGGTCGAAAGATCAATGCTACTCCAAAAGCGAGCTAGCTAGTGAAGTGGGTTACAGCTAATGAAATGTCAGTGACTATGTAGCGAGTAAGAACTGTGGAAACTATGGTCCAAAACTAAAATCCCAAGAATGAACAGTCGGAAAGTATCCACATTGATTGGGGAAATTATCACGTGACAGCCTAAAATCCTTCATGGTATATAGCATGGCTGGAGGAAGGCTTACCAAATACTGTTTAGTTGGTGGTTTTCGTAAATTGACTTTACACTCTCCAGCAATTGGCCGTAACGACATGTTTTGAGTTTTTTTTTTAGTGTATAATTACAATGTTTGTTATACATTGAAATATTTATAAATCACCTACAACTCATTTCACATATTTTTTTAAAACAGAGATAAAATATTTTGGTGTAAGTAAGTTGTTATCGCGAAAGCGTAACTTTATTGTGCAGTGGTTTTACTTTATGGTTTCTTGATAGTCCTACACGTAATGGAAGACTTGGATTCTTAATTTTAACACCGCCAATGCAAGGAGAAACGCTAGTTTTGTTTGTAAATAGTTTAGGTGAAGAAAATGTTGAGATTGTCCCCTCATTTTTCATATGATTAACGCTCTCTTCAGAAGAATTTATAGGTGATGACTTTTTCTCCTTTGTACCAACGCAAGAAAATGTGGAAATTTTCCCTTCATTTTTAGAATGTTTAACGTCCTCTTTGGAAGAATTTATACGTGATGACTTTTTCTCCTTCGTACCAACAAAAGGGTGCATTTGTAGTCGGATGACTCTTTTTAAAACAAATGTGTATCAAAAATTTGTTATTATAAGCACTCGCCAGAAGAAAAACTAATAAGAATAACACGAAAGACAAGCTGTGACCAAATGCAATTACGTGTGTATCAAACTGTTTTGATATTTTGATTGTATAATCATGCCAACTGCATTCTGGTTATTTCATATGTAAATAGGACACTTGAAACCAATGACAATTTTTATAAATACAAAAATAAAAGCCTAAAATTTGTTTTTGTCTTTTTCTCGAGGCCCAATTTGAGGTCGATAGAAAAGCAGTTATTATAAGCTATTTTTATATCAATGTGTAAATTAGATGTGTTTGATAGTGTTAAGGTGCAACCATGCTAAGACGACATATATAGATTTATTACAAACCAAGCAACTGCAGTTCGTGGACTTTCAAAATTTTTACTGGTCAATGACTAATTATTTTCACGGTAAGATTTCTATTCAATACAGTCCTTCATCTGTGAATGCATAACATCTTTTCAATTTAAGACTACTACATGCGAATGTTAACGTTACTGAGCGTTTTAGGCTACAACTGTCACTACTAAAATTGCTAATTTTGTTGAAAACGTGTTTTTTTGCTGATGTTCTTACTCCTTTATTGAAAAAAATAAAAAAAGAATGTTTTTATGTTGGTAAGCTTTGGCTTTCGATTTCGCTACACTTTCTACAATGTAATCATGTGGGCTAATGATCTTATTCTCTCATTTTTTATTGTGAATTACAAACAAGAAACTATGCATTAAACTAGAGTCTTTTGTATAAATATTGGACTTCTATTTTTTCATACAAACCCTCATTGAAAGAATAACTGAAGAAAGACATCAGCAATGTATATCTTTGTTCTTGTTTTTTTTCCTATTAGGTATATTTCAACTCTTTATGCCAACAATAAATCGCCAGATGAACTTTCTTGTGATCAAATGGCAACACACCTGAACACAAGATTTGATACCAAACTGCACAGCCATTTTCGTATGGAATTTAGTAAACGCATGAAAGAAAAATCCAAAACTGGTCAGTTAGTTAGATTTACTGATTTCTTTGGTATGGCAATTGGACATGCTTTGCTGGAGGTACAGTAATTAAAATTTGCATGGCCAACTTTGCAAAAATGGAAAAGAGCTCGACAAAGTTTCTCGAAAAAACTTTTTTATTTTATAAATAAAAATTCTGTGCAGCAGAGTTGTAAAGCAAAATACATGAACCCAGTTTTTTGTATTTCTACAAGCACTGACGTTAAAATAAGTTACAAGAGCTCGCTTTATCGATGTATGTACATTTCTTAATACTTAAAAGCAATTTGATTGTTGCAAGATTAAGAAAGGAAGAGCTTTCATAATCAGAAGCCCAAAAATCGACGATGCGAAATTTCGTCTTCAGTTATTAGGCTATATTATTTGTATTTGTGTTAATCTATTAAAGAAAGAAGATGCTAAACTGAGTGAGCAAGTTGAAAAAGTAAAAGATGGAAATTTTCCACTGCCAATTGCAACAGCTCTTCGTTTCAAAAAAGATGTCAAAGCTTTGGATTTCAACGGTAATAGAACTATCATTGAACAATCTAATGTAATTATCTGGAATGGATAGAAATTTAAAATGGCTATTTAATAAATAAACTGAAAAGTGGAAACATTAAAAATGGCGTGAAGATGAACATTTCTACTACACCCGTTAAAAATGAGGCAATCTATTCCAACTAGTTATAAATTGTTGAGAACATTACAAATCTATCTTGTGTCCCATAAAGAAAAGACTCAACGAAGTTCTGGAATGATGTTTTGGTATTTTTGGCATTGACATTTTTTTTTGAATGTTTAACACTTCTGATGAAGTAATAATCGAGTTGTTTGATTACACGGAATGAGCGCTGCACTGACTTTTATATAGTTTTGTAGTGGCTATAGCAACAATGTTTTTAATTGAGGTATATTTGGTATGCCTCATTTTTTCCTACTTCAAATTTGATGTTTTCACCAAGTAGTTATTCATAATCAATCTATAGCCTTTTTAACATAGATGAACTAAAAGTTTCAATTTTATTAGCACTTCTTATATGCAAATGTTAACATTGTCGTTTTTGACACGTTTAGCGTCATTCTGAACACATTCTGAACAATGTCTATTCAATTGACAAAAGTGAAGAACTTTGCGGTGTAGGAAAAACTAAAACCTCCTATAGCTTTTTCTATATTCCGGTAGCCCCCCCAAAAAAAACAGTCTTATACTTTTTGACTTCCTTACTAGTTATGACGCCAGAATGAACAAACATGGCGTGAAGAAAGTTTGCAGACGAGCACCATCTAACCTTCGTAGTTAAAACTAGGCAACTTTCGCACAATGTAAATTGATGACTACACATATGATATTAGCTACTAAGAAATGTTCGATATTTTTTTCTTTGTGTTTCTAGAATGGGTGGAATTTACGCCTTTCGAATATGGCTCTCAAAGACTTGGTGTTTTTCGAAAAACGTCACACTTTGGTGGAAAGTATTACAAAGGCCGTTTAGTTACAGATTATGGCGAACCTCCATTGCATTTTCTGCAAGGTAATTGATTCATACATATTGCACTGAAAAGAGAATACCCGAGTTAGATATTTTACATGAGTCACTCATGTTTTAAAAGTTCGATTACATTAAGTGGGCCAAAAAATTTTCGAGGATTTTACGAATTATTGATGAATGCAAGCAAAATATATGGTGTTAACAAAATCCACATATTTCTCTTTATGAGACAGGTGTATGGGGAAGTGCTTTCAGCATAATATTGAATTCATTGAAAGAAGATGACGAAAACGTGGCAAAAATCACAATGATGAATTAAGTAAAGGAGTCGTAACGATGAAATTCATATATAATCAGATCGTAAAAATTTTTTCAGCTCTGTATTTAATTTTCAAAGCTCTCTAACTTGACTGTTGCACTCAAACTTAACGATTTGACGTTTAGGCTTAATGAACAGAGCTTCTTCACTTAACAGCTAGGTTCCATACCAAAAAAAAACAATGACGAAAATTGCTCAAAAAAAAACATCCTACAGCAAAGCAGGCTTTATTCTGGAGGACAGTTGTTTATTGATTTTGCAATTTATTGTTTTTTTTTTGGGAGATAGACTATAACTTGTACTCAAATGAAACTTTGAAAAAAAGATTTTTCGTTGAACTGCTTTCTTTCCATTTTCATGCAGTTGCGTATTACAATCCATAAATGTCATTTCCATGAACTTGCGTATTACAATCCACAAATGCGATTTTCTTAAGACAACAATAAAGCATTGCGAGGTTTATCGTCTAAATCGATTTTTTTGGTTTTGCAAAATGTAAACTTGGTTTCACATTTAAAGTCATCTTATTATTTTTACTTTAATGTTGATAACTGTAAGACGGAAGAAAATGACAGCGAGGACGAGGACAAAGACAAAAATAAACCCGAAGACAAAGTAGACAGTACGTTTATGTTATTTTTTATTCCCTCTTTCTTTGATTGGATTAGTTGGAGAACAGTAATGTATAAATTCGGCAAAAATATTTTTACTGCATGATATTTACGTATATATAGTTATATCACAAACTTCGGGACATAGAAAATGAAGGTATATGTTTAAAACATTGTGTAGTCAAAAACAAATCTCCCTCGATCAGTAGTAACAAAGCCAGCCCGTTTTTTACCACTACAATGCAAATATTTCTGTGTTTAATCACTGGAAATACAATGAATGGAGTTCTCCTCTGCCCTTAATCCTAAGCATGACATAAAATTCTTGTATCTAGCTACTTTTCATTTTTGTTCAATTTTAATAATTATTTTTTCTTGACAATTTTAAATTTTTGTTAAAATCCTGCAAAATGAAAACTATTATGCTATGCATTTGAGAAATAAAAGATGTTTACTGTATTTTCACAGGCTTATGATACCTAGGAGACTTTTTGGAGAACACGAGAATTAATAATTAACAATTCGACATGACATTTGCGATTTTCAAAACAATGTTTTTATCTCGTATTTAACTTTCCTTCCAGATAAAGGTTGGGTGATGCGGAAGTTGAACCCAAAAAATATTTTTGCAACTCGCAAAGGAAAAGCCGCTGAATACTTTGACTTTTGCCGTGGACTCAAGTTAAAGAACAAAAACGTTAACACTTCATTTTATGAATCATTTTTAACCATGATCTTTTTTTTGCCAAAAATAATGAAGTTATACAATTTGCGTTTCAGTGTCAAAATCGTTTTAAAAAAATGTACTTCATTGTTTGAGTAATTTAGTTTATGTTTTCATCGTCAAAAATACCATTGGATAAAATCACAAACTTTCCTGGGTTTTTATTCTTGCATATTTGTAAGAAATTACCTGAATTGTGACGATTAATATTGTTTAGCCAAGAACCATGACCAGCCGACAATTTGAAGAAATATAGTATAAAGCAAATTCCGAAGAAGCAAGACATCTTGGGATTGCAAAATATGCATCAAAACAAAACGAGAAGTGAACTGTAAATTTTTGACTTTATTTGAAAGTCATCCTTAGACAGAAAGATTCTTTCAAGATGTCTTGCTTTTTAGGAATTTGCTTTATATTATATTGTTTAGCCACTTGTCCGTATTAAAAACCTCGTGCTCTCCACTTCACCACTCTTATGTCCACTGTTCTCTAAGTAATCATAGAACTGGATCTTAAATTTATTTTGGACCAGTAGTGAAGCTTGCGCGTTTTTTACTCCTACAATGCAAATTTTTTTGGGCTTATGCAATCACTGGAAAAACAATGAATGTAATAAACTTTCTTTAAAAAATGAATAATAATCATGCTGGTAAATTTGCATTGCAGTAGTAAAGGATCGGAATGGCTTTGCTACTATTTTTGGAAAAAATATGTAGAGAACAAAATTTCATGTATGAAAAAATATCCACGTAATTTTGTTTTCTGTATTTGCGATCTGTAGTCATGCAGTTATATTGTTTGTGTAAAGCTGGTTTGAATATTTTACAACGCAACTGGACTATAGGAACTGTTGGTGGTAAGGACGCTGTATTCAAGAATAAAACCATGTGTGTTGTTCATAGTGGTGTAGCTTTCAATTCACCATTTCCTGTTCTACTGAGACCAGAAAGAAAAGTTGAATTAATTTTGTCGTTCGACTTCAGTCAAAGAGATAATGGAGATAAAGAACCTCTTTTTCATGTGAGTCACTTCACATTTATTTGCTCGTTTTATTCTATTGATGGTTATTTCTATCAAATGAGTTGTTTTAATGCAGCGATAATTTTTATTTCTATTCACGTGCTGTCAACTGATTTTCGTGATTTCGCGAATAAACAACGTTCAATCCTACTTTACGATGGTAAACACACGTGTCAAAAATACGAGATCAAATTAGAAAGTTCGGAGAATCAAATGGTCGGACATAGTATTGTATATGTAAAATAGTGGCAATTAAATAGAAAGAAGATGCTCTTGGGGCATTTGTAAATCTTAATTTAGAAATCCAAAACGGCTAATTATAAAGGCAGAAGTTGTAAGAGTAAATAAAAACCATTTTCTGTCAAATCAAAAGAAAGCTTAGATATGACATGCAATATGCAGATAGAAAGTTATAGAGGAAAATGAAAACATTTTTAAAGTTGTCACGGATATTAAGCTTGCATTTTTCGAAGCAAGCTTAAGAAGATAAAGAGCGTGCCAAAAATATATGATTGAAAACTTGTTCAGTGCATCTACAAGCGCCAATTTCAGAGTTTGCTCTGTCACAAATTACTTGACAATGAATTTGAGCATACGTAGTCAACTCCATCAGCTTTCCAAGTTCATGATCATGGCAACAATCAACTCGATGTACTACTAACGATTATGGAGTATTTAGATATCTCAATCACAAGTATTCAGATAAATAATCTGCGCATGCGCAGTCTGCTTGAGCATGCGTACACAACTCCACAAACTCTCGAAGTTAATGAATATGGCAACGGCCAACTGTATGAACTAGTACAGATTATGAAGTAATTAGCTCGCTCAGTCACAAAGTTTCAGATATATCATCTGCGCATGCGCATTATGCTTGAGCATGCTGCCCAAGTTCTTGGTCATGGCAACGACCAACTGCATGTACTAGCACCAACTTTGAAGTAAATAGCATGCTTAGTAACAATTTAATACGGAAATCATCTGCACATGCGCTTGAGCATGCGCCGTCTACTCGACTAATTGTTCATAGTCGTAGCAACGACTAATTATATGTACTTAAACTAAATTTGTGGTAATTAGCTCCTTTAGTCGCAAATTATCAAAGAAATAATCTGGGCATGCGCAGTAGTGACTTTAACAATATCACAACATTCGTAGGCCTTGAAATTTATGCATATATATGTAAAGCTAAAACTTCATATAATAGATGTCAACTAGCAGTGGAAGCTGGGTGCGATATAGTATGCAGTGGCTTAGGGGCCCACACTTCGGTGGCGACCACACTCTCCCTGCGTACCCCGAGCAAAGCTTATCGCAGGTGATCTCGCGGTCTGACGGGCGGAAGCTTGCTATTGCATCTCCCCAGTAGGATAGCGTGGAGGGGCCGAAATCTCTTACCGAAACGATAGCATGCGGCGTTCTAGTGCCTTACATATAAGAAGATATCGGGAAGCATGAACCGAAAACGGTGTGTTTTGCTTTTGAAGTTTATCTATTTGTTTATCTCACAAAAGAAACTAGAACATTCAAAGATACTGTAAAGTTTCAAAAAACTTATGCCTCTTTGACTATACGTTTTTTTCATGTTACCTTTTGCAATGTAACTTTCTCATAACTTTCTCGTGATGAACGAGAGCCTGCTTATACAATGTAACTCTCATGAACAAAGCACTCACGTGCTTTATGGAAAAAGTGATCATATACTTTTTTAGTGATAGTTTTTACAAAGATTTTTTACCTAGAAAGTAACTTCAAATATCGAGTAAGTTTCCGATTAAACAGTACACTTTTCCGATTAAAAGTTCGTCTTTTAATCGCACAGAGACAGTCGTCCACTTTGTTACGTGGATGCATGTAGTATGTATTTCGTTGTAAGAAACCATCCCATCAAAGATTATCTAGTTCCAATTTTAGGTGCATCGAGCGAAGAAAATTGCAAGTCATAGAATTCTTTATAGCTATAGTTTAAATTCCATTTTTACGAATATAACTTGTAAATGAATCTGAAAATCTAATTTTAGAATATTTCATCCATCATTTATAATAATATTGATAAGTGATTATAAGACAGCGAATCCAACATATAGTAAAAATAGCAATTCAAAAATTTGTATGATTTGCCTTTTTAGCGCCTTGTGTAGTTGGAATTCGTCCTGGATATTCTAAGTCACGTCGTAAAGGCCCGTAACAATCTTTACAAAAAAGTCATTTGCACGACAACATGCCAATATCCAAGCTTTCTTTCGATCGCTATGCTTTTTTCTAACCCAAAACAATTAATATTTACTGTTATGCCTTCTGCCTTTATAAATAATCGTTCTGAATAACTATTATAAGATTCACGAATGCCCTAAAACTCAAAATCATTTCCTGACCATTTTAGCCACATATTTTTGCCATTATTCTATGCATAAACAATACTACGTTCGACTGTTTGATTGTTCGAATTTTTTAATTTGATCTCGTATTTTTGACATCTGTGTCTACCGTCGGAAAGTTGGATTAAACAGGAATGTTGTAATCTGTTGGGAGAAAGTTGCACCTAGTTTTAAAACCATGGCTATTACAAAAAGGTGCTATCTTTAACATGTAGAACCTATGCTTTTCCTTCTTTTATCCAGGAACTGTTGAAAGCAGAGAAATGG